GAAAGAGCACGAGAGGGCTGAGCTGGCAGGCCCCAGAGCAGCCCCCTCCATCCAGGAAACGATGGCAGCTACATGGACGCCAGAGAAAGCCGACTGCTGACACTGGGTAGGGAAAACGACCTGGAAAAACCCTGTGGTGGAGACACAACGGGCTGCGAAGCAGCAGGACCTCAGGAAGACAGTTAAAAACTCATCAAGAAAAGGAGTGAGGCCGATTTCAAGGTAAGAGCCAGCTGATGCTTTGAAACTTGCTATTAAGTCCATTAATAAAAAGTGTAATTCTAAATGGATCGGATATGTTATTGTTCAAGAAACACGAAGAGATTTTTTTTTTTCAGCCACGAGTTGTTGAGAAAAGGAGGAGATGAAAGATGACTCGTACGTTCTGCCTTCCAGAAAGGGAAGTGCAATCCAAGTGGAAGGATCAGGTACTAATGATGGGGATGGGAAGAATTAAAGGTAATGAAATGCAGACCCGAAAGCTGTGTTTATTGAGAGATATAGAGAACCTGCAGAAGACTGGAATAGCTACTAATGGCCCTGAAGGATGGAGAAGCAGCCAGGAAGAATGGAGTATATTAAAGCAACAAAAGGTTATTATGCTATTACAAGCGACAAACAGCTTGCAGCTGGGTGCCCCAACGCGCGGCGTCTCCCCGATGCGGCGACTCAGCCGCTGCTGAGCTCCGTGCCGGTGCGGAGCCCCCTTGGCAGGGGCTCTGGAGCAGTTTTCCGCCGTGCCGGTGACGGGAGCGGCTCCTGGGCCCGGTGGTGTGACGGGAGGCGGGGGGAGGCCGGGAGCGCGCGCTCCGCGGAGGCCGCTCGGGAGGCTGCCCCCATCCCGCGATGAAGACCTGCTAACGGATTGCACAGTCCACGCGGTTCACAGCAAGTATTTTATTTTGGCGGTTTTACGGGAGCCTATTGACCTAAAAAGGGCGCAAAAGATGCTTTTTTAATACCTTCCTGCAAGGGGGAATTCTGCTGCTCCGGGAGACGCTGCCCGTGCTCTGCTGCCGGAGGGGTCGCGGTCCCGCTCTGCGCCCTCCACCTAGTGGCTTCCCCCACTTCATACTCACTAACGCTCCCGTCTGCTGCAGCAGCCCCCGCGCAGCCCTGCACAGCACCTGGGAGCACTCGCATCCTGCACGCAGGGACACAAGCCCAGACACCTCATCTCAGAACACGCCACGGGGCCGCCAAAGCCGCTCAGCTTGAGACGAGCACCACGTGCGGGGAGCGCAGGCCCGGCAGCTGGGTTTAGAGACGGCCCCCGACGCTGCTTATTCTTCCCACATTGTCCAGAACATAAACCTGCAAAAGCAGAAGCCTCCCACACTCACGCAGATCGAGAACGGCTGGGAGCAGAGCAGCCAAAAGACGCGGCGCATCCCAGTGAGAGGCAGACGAGTCGTTTCAGGCAGCTGATGGCTTTTCCAGGAAAGCGGGAAGAAAACAGCTTCCAATCTGGGCACGCGCAGATTTACCTTGCTGTAGATGTAGCAGGGAGTCCGCTGCTAAGCGGTCACCTGAAGCAACACGGGTATTTCTGGACACGAAGTGGGTAGTTTGGTTGTTCGAGGCAAGGAAGGCAGCTGGCTGCAAGTTTTTGGAGGGCTGAGCTGCACTAACGCAGGGCTTTGCTAATTCAGTGTTGACTGCACGTGGGGTTTTTGTTCAAAGCCACGTTATTGGCTTTGCTTGCTTGAAAGGGGGAAAGGAAACAATCTTTTCTGCTGTCTATAGTCCCATGACCCTGAAATACTGCTGATGGTGCACAAGGCTTTCACAGAACACCATTTACCAGCAGGTTCGCAGGACAATCCCTTCCTTTTCCTTCTCCCCTTGCAAAGGGCCTGAAGAGAAGCACAGCCTCGATGGAAGGCTGGGCGCTCATACCTGGGGCAAATAGAAGATGAAGAGAATCATCTAGAATGACCTTGGAGACGAAGCAGCTTCTCTCCCCTCCCATGAACACCAAAGGTGCTAGAGAAGTGATCTGCAAGCACAAGAATAGTCATGAAATCCAAGAAAAGGGAGACTTTTGGACACAGCATGGAAGAAACAGTTTTTCCACCATACAAGTGTCCCTCTGCAATCCCACCCCTGTGACGGAGACTAGAGCTGCCTGCTCCACTTTCCCTAAGGCCCAGGACCAGATTCCTTACAAACAACGGCAGAGATGAAGCTGCACCTCAAACAAACTCGCTGCAGTTAAGTCATTCCATGTGGTGGACAGGTAAACAGGATAAAAGATTGGAAGCAAGACTCCCGGGGTGCCTACAGGAATCAACCGCCAACTTCCCCCAGCTCGTTGGCTTCCACGGTTGTCTGAACTTAAAGGCAACTTTAAGAGTCTCGGTGCAAGTCTTAACCTGGCAGATTACTCCCAAATCCTGCAGGCCAGCTCCTGCAGCACAACATAAGCACGCTGATTAGGTGACAAACCCAAGTGACATTACTAAACTCCTCTGTATGACCAGCAAGGGAAAAAGGGGAAGATTTAGTGGAAGAAGGTTAAGCAACAGCGCCCTGCCCATCTCTAAAGGTATTAGTGGGATGTGAGACCACCTGCACTGCCTCCCACCCCAACAACGAACGCTGGCGGAGCAGGATCCAGCGCGAATTTAACTGGGTGCAAGGAAGAGGTCAAACACCTGGAAGAAGAAAATATTAGGACAGAAGGATAGGAGACATTACCCCCAAATGGCTTGAATACCCTGGTGCAGCATAAGACAAGGACAGAATAGGTAGGTTTTGCTGGAGGGATAAAAACCACAAAGGAAAAACAATCCTGAGCACCACAGAGTCCGGAGTTTCTGACTGCTCCCCGCACAGGGAAGCAGCTTCCTAAGTCTCTGCAGCCCTTCCGACTAGTCTCTCCAAGAAGAGCCGGACTCCGCTGCCGCCGCTGCTCTGCGCTGTTTGGGAGTGCAAGGCTGGCTACCGTGAGCCCAGGGCTTCAGTGGGGATGAAGGGGCTCCACAGGGCCCTCTGCCACCCCTTCCCAAAGCCCAGGTTACTCTCCCGAGCCGAGCGGCTGCTGGGAGCAGAGCGCGAGCAGCAGCACCAGCCGACCCTCGCAGCGGTCTTAAAAACACCACGTTCGGGCCAGATATCAAACTGCACAAGCTCTTCTGCCACCCCTCCCCACATACATACTGCTTCATGGCTATCAGCTTGGAGTCCATGCTCTCCTGCTTTCCTTTCATCACCTGGATGTCAGTCAGGAGCTTGGTTACGTTGTCTTGACGAACCTTTATATCCTCATTCTTTATACTGGATACCTGGAGACAGAAAGGAAGATGTCAATGCTGGTTTCTTCCTAAAAAAAGAGGTTATTTAAGTATCAAAGTTGATATCACAAATAATCCATCTCCCTCCTCTGGATCAACTGCCACATTCACACTTGACTCCAAGCACCAAGGGACTAAACCCAGCTATCTACAACACAGGTTTTCCATGGGCATACTGCTATTTACAAACATCAAATTCTGCTGCAGCCCTCCATTTTTTTGTTGTTTGTTTGGTTTTGGATCAGAAGTACAGTGTTCAAGTAAAACTGCACACCTGCACGAGGGCTGCCTGCCAGCACTCACCTGCAGACAGGCACTGGACCAAGATATCCCTATGGATAAGGGTGACCCTACATCTAGGGGTCAGCAACACAAATACCCGTGAGCGCATTTACACCCCAGAGAAGAAAAATACTTTTCTCTTCTTTGAAAATGCTCTTCGAACACTTCCCAAAGTCTCTGCTGCATGCAGCGAGTTGAGCATTGGTCTCAGCAATTAGGAAAACAGGTTTGAGAAAGAAAGCAGGAGCAAAGGGGCAGAGGAGCTCCCTGCAGCGCAGCCAGCAGCTACGCCGCCTCCTCGAGAGAGCCAGACACACTCGGCATCCTCAGCACGTCGCTGCAAGCCGAGAAGATCCTGCGCAGATGATTCTGTTTTTCTGGGAAAACACTCAGGAGAAATGACACCTAAGCACGCTGCACAAGAGCCGTCCCGTGCGTGAACGCTGTGCATCTGCCAACGGCTACGGGGTTAACACGTCTCACCTATTCGAGCGCGGCTCCCCTCCGCCTTGCTCGCCAGCAGGTCGTTAATCCCCAAGCTCGCGGCTCCACAGCCTTCTAACGCATTCGCCCACTGTGCAGCTGCCTGGAGGAGCTAAAGGCCTCGCTGAAAACGGCACCGCGAGCACCCCGGGACAGAAAAGCGTCGCGCCCTGCACGTTGCTTTCATTAATACTTGGAAATGAATGACTAAAACGTGTTCCTCCAACCTGCATTTCAGGAACAATAAATTGGAACTCCTGATATCAAAAAACGGGGGCAATTGCAAAGCCTCTCCATAAATAAGGGAAAAATATCTAAGTTTAGATTTGGGATATGCAAGATGCTAACACGTTTCAAATATTCCAGGTACCTTCACCTTCCTCCTCTGCTCCCACTACCGCAGCTCTCGGGCTTCACATGCTGGGTACATACACACTGCAGGTACCAACTTTTCCTTCATTAAAACATCTAATTAAGGAGTGCAGCTCAACATCAGCGATCACGCTCCCTCTGCCCCTCTCACTGGAAGGGACTGCTGCTCCAGGAGACACAATAAACTGTCCTCTAGAGAGGACACAACAAACCATCCTCCAGATGGCCAAACCCAAGCTGCTACTTGTCCAAAAGAGAAAAACTTGGGATGAAACTAGCTCTTTTCTACTGATTTTCCCAGGTGATTTGGTTTGAAAGGCCAGGAGGCCAGCATTCATCAACCCTTGGAGTACACTGCTGTTTTTTCCTGCTACCCTCTGCTTTTAATAGTCTACTTTGACAAGGTGTAATGGGTACAAGTTGAAATCCAGGCATTTTCACCTCCATGTGAGGAAGAACTTTCCTGTGAGGGTGCCAGAGCCCTGGAACAGGCTGCCCAGAGAGGCTGTGGAGTCTCCTTCTCTGGAGATCTTCATAACCACCTTGATGCCACCCTGTGCCCCGTGCTCTGGGTGACCCTGCTGGAGCAGGGGGCTGGGCTGGGTGATCCCTAGAGGTCCCTGTCAACCTCAACCATTCTGGGATTTGGTGAGTTCATCCCAAAATACCTGTTGCATCAACTTACGCTGGTTACTTTCCGCTTGATGTTCTCCAGGAGATGCTCCTGGCCTCGGATGAAGTACGGGTGCTGGAATTCGGTATCGTCTTTCTCTGGCTTCACCAATCCTCCCTGCTCAATGTGGACAACCTTGCGAAAGCCATCTGAAAGTCACACGGTAGATAATTAGAGAGGGCCTTAGCAGGCTAAAGGTGAACGTGAGAAAATAAAACCCAGCACAAACTGTCCCTGTTGGCATAAATACGCAGTTCTTGGATGATGAGATACTCCCTTCTAACAAAAATCTCATCCTGAAAGTGTTTTCTACCCAAGAACACCAGCAAAGAAAGTCAACCCCTTAGCAAAGGGGTTTAGCATACCCTCCATGTGATCCCAGAGGGATCGTTTTGTTTATTCAGGGAATAAAATTGCTGATAAGAGCAGTACGCAGACAGAGAACCATTGCACATCACCTCAAATACTAGTGAAGACATGGATACGTGCGAGGCAAAACCCTGGAAGTGGTAATCAGCGCACGAGAGGAGATGAGCACGACTGCATTTAATTGCACTTAAGTAGGACAGTGAATATGAGCACTTCGATTCAGCCGGACTCACCTGCGCTCTGCAAAACGAGCGCCAGAAACCTGCTTTGTATTTTACGAGGGGAGGTGGCACTTGCAAAGCCCGGGTTTCGTAACGCAACAGCGACCACCGCCTGCCACAGCGAACAGGCCCTCCTGCCCTTTGCTTTCTCCGGGCACCGATTCCACTTCCCGCCTCTCCCAGATTCACGGCGCGCTCCGGGCCCGCTCCGGAGGCCCCGCGGGGACGGGAGAGGCCGGCGACGCGCCCGGAGCCTCAGCTGGGCTCCAAACACCTAAAAGTCACTCCAGAGCAGAGCGCAGCGCATCAAAGCGCAGGGGGGCTCAGCAGATCTGTAAAGCAGGAGGATAGAGCGGGAGTGTTTTTGCAGTTTGTCAGACCACAGCTGTGGCTGAAAAAAAAGGGGAGAAAAAAAAAAACCAGCTTCCTGCACTTGCAGAAAGTAAGTGATTTAGAGAAATTACACATTATTGTAGTGATATTAGCCAGTTTTCAGTTATTCGAGTGATCCTTAAAAACTAAAGGCCCTGGTCATGAACCAGGGAATGTGCCCCACAGCTATTCAAAGAGCCAGTGTTGAAAGGTAATGAAAATGTCATCCTCTCTAATAACATTGGAATGCTCTCCCAAGCCCACATCTGGAGCATTAAAGCTAATCCCCGCTATACCCTCCACGTGAGAGGTGTATGAAAGGCATCCTTTATGCTGCTGCCTATCACAAGGACTCGCAGCCAAAACGTAAATGTGGATATGTGTGCGCCGAGAGGAAGCCGAGCAGACTGTCATGAAGCAACGTCTCTGGGATAATCCCAGAATATTCCTGCTCCTTGGCAGGAAGGAGCAGTTACAAATGCACCGATCAATCTTGAAGCACTTACAGTCAGTCACCTCTTGCTCTCCTTGCACATCTGAAGAGCAAAAGGAGGATTAAGCAGTGAAAGTTTGGAAAAGCAGAGCAAGGAGAACAGAAGAATGTTGCTGGGTTAGCAGAGGACATGGCATTTAGCAGGATATTCAGGATATTTCAGATTTCCAAGAGAATGGCAGCAGGAGGGCATAGCCAGCCCCAAAGGGGAGCGAGCAAAGCCCTAGGAAGGGATGTGACTGTCAGCTCCGTTTCAGGGCTTTCCTTTAGCCATCTCTGTTCCTCAAGCAAGCAGAAAAAGCATGGGGACAAGCTCAGAGTTTAGCACTGAACACACACATGCCTAAGTATCACCCACTTAGAAAATAAACTGGAATCCTCAAACTGTCAGTCAGGAGCCAAAAAGTCTCTTATACCATGGGAATAAATTTAGAGCTCTTTAACACATTGCGGAAAAAAGAGGATTGATGCTAAAATACAGATTAAGCATAGAGGAAACAGGTGTGCACCTGAAAACAGGAGTTGATGTTTTGGTGTTTCTTGCTGCATGTGAAGTCAAGCTCTGCATCATCACAACACTGTGCATTGCTGCTGGGACAGTGTAAGAACATACAGGAACCAGCCAAAAGACAGGCAAAGGCAGGGGTTTTGTTTGGAGCATCCATCCCTTGAGGTCTTCCAAGAGATCTCAATTCAGGCTTCTGCTTGGAACGTGTTTTTTCCAGAAATCCTGAGCTGCTCAGGAAAGCTGCTGCCAGAAAGAAGTTTCACTCCTGTCTTTTAACTTGATCTTGCAGATTTACTGCATGCCTTCCCCTCCACTGCCCCCAAAGGAAACCCTTATCACTCAGATGGGCTTTTGTCTGTTCTAATCTAATTCTGTTCCAGCTCTTCCACCCCTGCTATTAAAAGGAGGAGCTGACACCCAGATGAATGTTATTGCCCTTGCCCTTCCCCGACCTTTCAGCGTTGCACACGGTGGGATGCAGGGGCTCAGACAGCTTGCTTGCTTCTTATTGCTCCCTCGTTGCAACAGCCCAAGTTGGAGAGGGAGCCCTGGCCCTGCTTTACAAGCTGTGCTTAGCTTGATCTGCCTCCAAAGCATTTCAGGACGCGTGAGCAGCAGAGACACCTGTAGCCATGTGCTTTGGAGAAATATCCTCCCCACAAGCGCAGGGCAGATGTGGTGACAAGAGAGACGAGAGAGGCACGTGGGGAGAGGCCGTGGGAGCGGAGCAGAGCCCGTCCTCCCGCAGGCCACCCTGCCACCGTGGGCAGGAGCAGAGCCAGAGCCCCACTCCCGTCACGGGGGAGCCAGAAATGTGAGAAAGGCCAGATGAGCCACTCCATGTGAGCGCCTGGACGTCAAGCGCCTGCTGTCTGCCACCAGCCCCGGCACTCCTGGTGCCCTGGCAGGCTCTGGGGCTTTGGACATACCTGTGCCAAGTGTGAGGTGCCAAGGAAGGTCCCTGCTTCTCTAGGCACTTTGAGTCCTTCTCAGAGAAGGATACAAGAGGGCCCTGTTCCACATGCATGTGATATGTGTGTGTGTGTGTGTGTGTGTGTGCAAGAAAGAAAGCGCAGAGTCAGGTCGACTCATTAAACCAGGTTCCTCTTCTTCCCTGCCAGGCTAGGGAGCTGTACCAACAGAAAAGCAGGAAGAAAGTCTTATTTAAGGAGCAGTTACCCAAAGACAGTGTTGTGTTGGACACGTGAGTGTGGGTCCAGGACTGGGCAGTGCTTCCATTAGCAGTAAGAAGGATGGCTGGAACACGGCCGGGAAGAGCTGCAATACGTCAAAGGACAGGATGGCAATTCCAAATGATCCTGACAAACAGGATGAAGTTCCCTGCTGCTGAGCATGAAGCGCAGCTCTGGGATGGAGAGCCCCGGGGCTGGCAGTAGCTGAACAGCAGGAACTGAGGGCTGTAGCAGGCCTAACACAAAAGTCAACGTCATTTTATTGAGAAAAGGGCCGACACTGTAACAGGATGTACGCGCGGCAGGATCACCTTCCAGGTGCTGCTTCTGTTGTATTCAGCAACACACCTGAATTTGAACACTGCACTTCAGCACAGGAACAGAACAAAAAGCTGGGTCAAAAGGGAATGCAAATGGTTAAAGGCCAGCAAATAACCCAAAAGACTGGGGGGGAAAATAGTTGTTTAGTCTAAAGTGAAAAGCCTGAGTAGAGGTACTAAGTCTTCAAAGACACAAAGACTGATGCAACAGAAAAAGACTGAATCTCTTCCCTGCACCTGCAGCAGACAGGAAAGAAGCCAAGGGCTCACCTGTAGCAGGGGAGGTTTGGGTTGGGCATCAGCAGTCTAACCTTGTGAATCCCTCCCTCACCACTCCAGCACTTCTTGAGGAATTTACAGAAACTTTGTTATTGGAGGCGTTGAACAAATAGGTTAGATGCAGGGCCGTGGGGAGCCACACGATACAGGTGGTGCTGCCTTGAAGCAGAGGACTGGACTACACGATCATCTCATGAAGCTCCTCCAGGCCTATCTGGCGATGATTTTATGGTCAGAAAATTAAAATAACTGCGAGTTTGGAAAATTTAGCTCAGTCGGTCCCTGCTTTAAATGATTCTGGCAGCAACAGCCGCTCAAGAAAGTGATAAGAAAATTAACAAGCTGTCATACGTGGCGCAGCCTGTCTCCCTGGATGCGAGCCAGGGGAGTTCCTCCTCCGTCACACAGCAAGGAGCCGCCTCGTGTGTCCACGGCAGGCGAGCACAAGGAGAGCATTCACCAGCTTGCTCTAATACCCAGGGAGGGAGGAGATGAAAGCTGTCTGTAGGAGTACAGAGCAGGCAGCCACTTCGTCAGAGTCCTCCCCTTCAGCGGAGGCCAACCCTACAACTACTACTTGGTGCTCGAAATGGGAGTGATTGCAAAGCTGGCAAATGCTCCCAAGCCACACGCACTCCCCCGGCAGCACAGCTGGGCAGGAGCACGAAACCTCCTTCCAGGACAAACCCCAACTCGCACTTCGGGCTGCCCCCGGGGTACTTACACATGTTGAGCTGCCGCACAAAGCTGGCCATGTTGTTATGCTTGAAGTACTTCGGAAGCACCTCCTTGGCAAACTGGCCTTGGTCAAACACATGGAAGCTGTTTCCACTCTGTCAACAAAACAAAACATAATAAATCCCCGTTATGCAACAGGAGGGGAGCTCAACCACCCTTTCACTTCACAGATGTGAAACTCTATGTTACTGTGAGGGAGAGCAGAGAAGACCTGAAGGTCTGACACAGTGAGAGCTGCAGTTTAATCTCTGTTGGAACCACTCAACCAACGCAAGCTCCCACAAATGCAGCTCAGAGCAGTCTAAATGGCTCCGCTGGGCTCCCGTTGGGGTCTCGCACCTCGGCGCGTCCCCAAGCGCCCGCCGAGCCCGGCGCGGGGTCCACACCGGCACCCTCAGCTCAGCGCCACAGCCGGGGCGGCCACACCGCGTCCTCACACCGCGCTCGGGAGAGGAAGATGCATCTGCTAGTTATCAAAATCTGACAGGCCGTTGATGACTCTTTAGGCTCTAATTAAGTTACTGCTAATTTGGAAGAACTAGCAAAGCACAACTCCCCAGGGACGGAAACGCAAAAACCTCAGGAAGTCAGGCAGGATGCCGAGATTAAGCCTCAATTTGCACGACTGCAAACGCATTAATTTCACAACTCGGCCTGGTTAACTTGTTTTCACATCCACGGCAACAAAAGCCCCCAAAAGGCTGGATCTGGTTTCGTCGCGCGCTGCTGGCAGTGTTTTACAACGGGGATCTTCTCGGAGGGCAGAGCTGCCCTCGCGATCCACCTCCTGCCGCCAGCATCCCCGTACATGGAGCCAGTTCCGGCTGGGAAAGCGGCTCTCCGGCAGGACCTCGGAGCCGGGATGAGCTCTCTGCAGAGACTTAGCAGTTCCAGACGGAAGATCCTCGAGATTTGCTTCTCAGACAGGCCGGCCTTACTGCTCAACTGACCGGGCAAATTCAACGCAGCATTAATCCTGAGGAATTAAGGATTCTAGATAAAAAGCAAACAACAAGACCTTAGAAGACTGTGCCTGCCAATAAGAAAAGCAAGTTAAGAGGTGCAATAAAAGCTGGCAGGTTAGGCTTTTCCATCCTAACGGCTTCCTTGGAATAAGGATGAGTTTCCTCATTCCTCCAGATCCCTGGGCTGCTTTGGAGGGCTGATTTTCATTCAGCTCCTTCACTTCTTACCCAGTACTTAACGGTACTCAGGGCTGATGCTAGGAGATTAAAAGCACATTAGGAAGAGGGATATAGGAGGAAAGCAGCACCAGGCCACCTCCCTGGAGACAGCAGGCCACAAGAAGCCACCCATCTAACACGTTGCACCTCAGACCCCCAAAGCTGGGGATTTTTGGTGGGTATTGAGTCCCACGGAGCTTTAGTAAAACCATGTTGATGACAAAAGAGCAGGAACAAACCCAAGGCAACGCTTCCACCGAGGGGCATCTCCCCCTCGGCTCGTACATGCCACAAGCCCATGGGCCGGAAGAGCAGCAAGTCCATGGGATGCAAAAGGGTTGCAGGGACACAAACCTCAACCGAATTGCCTTCAAGTGGCAGAATTATTTCCACATTGGGGACTAAAGCCAGCCTCGTGCACGCTGCACCACGCTGCACTCCGTTTCCATCCTTGAGCTCTCAAGGCCGCCTGCCTTCTGCGCCCGGCATCCCCTGTCTTCCGGCACTAACAAAAGGCAACTGTGTTTTGGGAGGAATTTCTCAACGTCCTTTGTGCCAAGGTCATTAAAACACCGAGATGTGATCTTCACAGAGCCCTGCCCCGGCCCCTCCACCCCTCGGCACTACCTGTTGTTCCTGCAGAGCCAGGCGCTCCCCTGGCCTCGCGCTAATCCCTCCGCGTCTCCCGTTTCACCTCTGATTTCCTACGTGCAGGGTATCAGATGCTCTGCAGAAGTCCAGATACATGAGATCGGCCCCAATTACTTCATCTAGAAAAGGGTTTTGTAGCCAGAGGAGGAGAGACGAGTACCAGTTTTTGGGAAGCCTTATGTTGCATTTTAGCCCATTCTCCATTTATTGCTATGGCTTTAGCTATTGCAGCCTTTGTTTTTCTCCCCCCTTAGCACTATACACCCACCAAAGTCAGACTAGTTAGCCATTAATGCTCCTTTCAGGAATAAACATCTTTTCCTAATGAGGCATCTTGGGGGGTTATGTTGGAGGTCCTGGGTCCTGTGGTGGAGAAGCCCTGCTCTGAGTCCCACTCACTCCATTATGGGACACAAACCTAAAAGCTTCCCAAACTGCAGGAAAGGTCTCCTGAGGCCAAGTTCAACTTGCCTGCGTCCATCCTGCTGCCAGTGGGAGCCACATTCCAGGTTAACGATGGCCATGGGGGGACCATGCAGTTGGAAAACCATTTTACCGGATGCCAGGATGGCCAAGGTTAGCAGGGACTTCTAGAGATCACCCAGCCCAGCCCCCTGCTCCAGCAGGGACACCCAGAGCACGGGGCACAGGGTGGCATCCAGGCGAGTTGGAAGATCTCCAGAGAAGGAGACTCCACAGCCTCTCTGGGCAGCCTGTGCCAGGGCTCTGGCACCCTCACAGGAAAGAAGTTCTTCCTCGCATGGAGATGGAACTGCCTGGGTTTCAGCTTGTACCCATTACCCCTTGTTCTGTCACCGGACACCACCAAGAAGCGCCTGGCCCCATCCTCCCTACACTCTCCCCTCAGGTACTTGAACATGTTGATCAGATCCCTCTCAGCCTGCTCTTCTCCAGGGTAAACAGGCCCCGCTCGCTCAGTCTCTCCTCACACGATAGATGCTCCAGTCCCTTCATCATCTTCATGCCCCTGCACTGGACCCTCTCTAGCAGCTCCACGTCCCTCTGGTCCTGGGGAGCCCAGAACTGCCCCCAGTGCTCCAGGTGCCTCCCCAGAGCTGAGCAGAGGGGCAGGATCCCCTCCCTCGCCCTGCTGGCAACGCTCCTCCTGCTGCAGCCAGGAGCCCATTGGCCTTCTTGGCCACAAGGGCACATTGCTGCCTCATGGGCAACTTGATGTCAAGCAGGACTCCCAAATCCCTCTCCACAGAGCTGCTTTCCATCAGGTCAACCCCTAATGTGTACTGGTGCCTGGAGTTATTCCCACCAGGTGCAGGACCCTGCACTTGTCCTTGTTGAACCTCATGAGTTTCCTCTCTGCCCAACTCTCCATCCTGTCCAGGTCTCTCTGAATGGCAGCACAGCCCTCGGGAGTGTTGGCTGCTCCTCCCAGTTTGGTGTCACCTGCAAACTTGCTCCGGGTGCCCTCTGTGCCCTCGTCCAAGTCATTCATGGACAGGTTGAACATCACCAGGCCCAGTACTGATCCCTGGGAACACCCCAGGCCACAGGTCTCCAATCAGACCAGGCCTCATTTATCACCACCTAAGCACAGTGGCGCTGCCCTCCTCCTCCTGCAAACGAGTGCAGGCTTCGGACACCATCTGTGCAGGCAGCAAATAAAAGGAGATGCCCCACAGGATTTTTTTGAAGGATTTTTGGAGGCGAAATAGTTGAATTTGTCCTAGGCTTGGGGTAAAACGGTCTCCCTGCTAGCCCAGATGCAGGGGACTGGGCACCACGTCACTGCCAGAGTGTCCAAACCGTCCCAAAGCCACCCAAAAGCCAGCCCTGGAAAGCTCCCGGCTCCTCCAGGGCACGAGCCTGAGGATTTCACTTCTACCTTTTCACCCTCCACACTATTTACAGAGCTTAAGGATATATTTACTGCCCTTGTACTTAAATACAGGCAGGGATTCCCTGCACTCTGCAATCTCAGTCATTATTGCTGCTCAATGCAACGCTGAAAGCAGTTTGGCTTCAAAAATAAGAAAAAGTGGGAGAAAGCTGAAGGAAAGAGTCTCTACTGGGTCCCCACAGGAGCAGGGAGCCTCAGGACGTTGCACTGCCCATGCTGAGCTGTCGCCAGCACTGAGCACTGCAGCACCCGGCCACCTACCACTGCACGGAGCCCGGGAGAAAATCCCACAGCCAGAGCAGCTGCAGACCCCGCAGGAACCAGATTTGTGGTTGGTGAGAGCCAAGAGTCTGGGAAAGAAGCTGCCGGTTCCCCTGTCGTTCCCTTCGGTCCCTGCCGCGAGCAGGGCTCCGGAGCACCAGGTTTCTGCCTTCTACCACGGCAAGGGACAGCGATGAAGGGACAACTCAGGAGAAACAGGATTAACGACAGGCTTGTGCCACCCAACACGGGCACGTGCTGCTTTGTGCGGTGCTGCTGACCAGCGCTGACTTAAAGCGAACGGCCTGACCTCATCTTCCAGCAGAGAAGAGCGTACAGATATTTCCAAGTGTGGAAAGACACACATTTTAACAAAATCATACCAATTATTTTGCTATACCTATAATACCATATCCAGAGGGATATGAGGACATCAGCAGATCCACGGAGCACTAACCAAACTCATGCTGATCCAAGCGCCTCTCAGCACACGCTCCCAGCTGCTACATTTGGCACTCCTGCACTTTGAACAGGTCGAGCTGTCCTTCCTGATGCTCCCATATTTTTGGGTACAGAGGAAAATGGGTGTCTAAGGCTGATGCCAGCGGCGGCAGCTGCAGCAGGAAGTTGACACACTGGCTCCCAGGTGCTGCCACAGTTGCTGGATCACAAAAATCTAGAGGAATTAGAGGACAGGATAGAGGACAGCACTGGACCTCTCCAGTGGTCATACATCCATGTCCGTAGGAAACAGCTTACGGACCCTTTGTATGGGGTGCACGGTGTCTGCGGGAAGCCAGACCCCGCTTCCCAGCTGCCGGATTCTCCCAGCGCCTACCTTGGCCATTGCTGCCTTCCAGCCCCACACAGGTCTTGGAAATATTTCCCTCGCAGGCACAGAGCGGAAAACCCAAATTTTCACTTCCAAGGGGGAAAAAAAGCAACTCTAAGTTGCCAACAATCTTCTATACAAGGGAGCTCAACGTAAGCAATCGCCAAGGCAAAGTCTTAGCAGCTCTTCCCAAGAGCTCAGATAGCAGCAGAGCAGGGAAAAAAAATAAAAGACATTAAAAGATACCGAATATCCCATCACACAACTCCTCTGTCACGCGCATAATATT